TAATTCTTCCTTTTTTATTTTGGCTCAACCTAAACCATTAGTTGAATTAATCGCCTCATTTATTTGTGTAGTAGCTCTAGTTTTTAACTGGTCAAGAGTTTCATCCGGATTAGGTTGCGGATCAGGAGCAGGGTTATTGGGTAAATTTAATGCTTGGTTAAGTTGTTTAACTTCTTGTTCCAAATCTTTAAGAGTTTTTTCTTTATTCTCCTCAGGCAAAGAGGAAAAATTATCAACTGAGGTTTTTAGCGCGGATAACAGGGTCGAATGAAGCAGTTTTTTATCAGCATTTTCAGGTTGATTAAGAAAAGTTTCGATTTGACTTAATTGAGTTCAGACTTGTTGAATTCTTTCTTCAAAACTTTGACTTTTAGTTTCAGAATTTTGCTTAACAAAGTAATAAACTCCTCCTCCAATTCCTCCTAGCAAAACTACTCCGCAGATTATTCCTAATCAAAGTTTATTGCTCTCTCTCTCTCTCTCTCGATTGGATACATAATTATGGTTATTCATATTCATTTTTGCTTATAAATAATATTTTTCTACATGTAGATCTACATATATCAAAAACTAAAACTATAATATAGACAAAAATAGATTGATTTATACTAATTAGCGTATATGTATCTATATTTGGTCCTTATCTGTTTAATTAAGTCTACTCCAATATTTACTCCCCCAAATCAATTAGAAAAAGATAAATCTAAATCTGTAAAGAGATTATCAAAAACAACATTAAAGAAAAGCACTAGAACGCACCACAAAAAAACAAGTTTATTAACTATCACTTTTAGCAAATTACTAGTTGGACGACCAGGCCGTACTCCATCAACATAGATCCCTTTCTTCCGCAAATCTTTGCTAACTTCCTTTGGATTTCAATTCACAAATCTCATTTGCAACCAAACTGCTAGCCAACGCACAAGTACAAGAAAAAAAAGTGCTCCGAAAATTTTTCACTTTGCTTCATTAATTCAAGCCCAAATATCTTTAAAAGCAAAAATCCTTTTCCTGTCATTAAGAATAAAAAGAGAACTTCAGAACCCTTTTTTTTCTCCTAATTTATTCTCCAGTTCTTTTTTTTCCGTTTGAGCTTTTCCTCACTCTGCAGTTACATCACCAAACTTAAATCAATTTACTTTTCCTTTAATAAGATAAAGACTGTAAAAAAAAGAAATAAGTTGCGAAAGATAAATTAATGGCATAAAACTAAAGTTTAACTTGAAACCTAGTTTAGAATTTTTCTTCTTTAACAATTTATTATCCTGACTATAAAGAGTGTTGGTATCAATTGGAGTTTCTCATTTTAAATTGGTTATTCAAATAAAGAAAACCGTAATAAAAAACAAATAAAGAAAACTAAGCGGCCTTCACCCGCCCCGAAACAGGCCAAATGGTAAGAATTCTACTAACAACATGAGATTAAGAGCACTACAGACCCCATACTGATTCATTAATTGAGTAAGTAATTCTAATAAACAACAGTTAACCACTGTTATAATAAGTGACAACAGCAGAATATCACCTCAACTATTCTTCTTTCAAATATCTTCAAAACTAAACAACCCATAACCTAAAGAAAAAATAAACACCAAAACTTTGTTAATTCAATAACGTCACTTTTTGAATTTGGCTTGATCTGTTTTTTCTGAGAGAAAAAACTGGAAAAAGAATCCCAAAAAAAAGTTAACTTGCAGTTGAGCATTAATACCTAAAAAGAATAATCTATACTTCTTTTCCGCTTCTCGAACATTAGTTAATCATTGGCTAGGAAAAGGAATTCTATATCTGCCAAAAATATAAAAGATTAGCCCCACTACACTTGCTAAACAAGCTAGAAAAAAAGCATAACGTTGCTCCCTAACTCTCCTTTTTCTACTACTAGTTGCCATAACTACCTTTCCACTATGTGAAACTTTCCTCCCGATTTAACTATCTTTTCTTGAGCAGCCTGGGAAAAAAAAGAAGCCTTAACTGTTAAAGACTTAGTTAAATCGCCTTTTCCTAATATTTTTACAGGAAACTTACTCTGAGTGAAGTCTACCGTTTGCCCATTAACAACTTTTGCATCGTTTTCCAGTTTTTCTAAATTAACCACTTGATAAGAAAAACTTTTTGTTTTAAAACCGCGCTTAGGAAAACGTCGATAAACTGGAGTTTGCCCCCCTTCAAATCCCGGACGAGTGTGACCGCTTTTTCTAGCCTTTTGCCCTTTTTGCCCTCGTCCGCAGGTTTTTCCCTTTCCTGAACCTTCACCACGACCAACGATTTTTTTTTTCTTAACAATAGTAGTTAAGTAATTATTAGTAATCATATTTTTTTCCAGTTAATTTATCTAAGCCTATGAAAGCTGCTCGAATAACATTCAATTTATTTCGGCGCGAACCAATTATTTTTGTACTTATATCTTTTATTTCGAGGAACTTAAATAACTTATTAAGCACTCCACCAGCCTTAATACCGCTGCCAGGCGGAGCTGCTTTCATAAAAACTGTAGTAGCCTTATAATTGATTATAATATTACGAGGAATAGTGCGTGGAGGAGAAGAAAAATAAGTTATTAATTTTTTTTGAGCTTTCCGCACCGACTTACGAAAAGCACTGATCGCTTCTTTACCACTACCACAAGCAAAAGCAATCGCTTTTTTTTCTTCGTCCTTAACTAAGACCAATGAGGTAAAACTAAATCTTCGTCCACCTTTAGTGACAGTTACCGGTCTTTTTGTTTCTAATTTTTCAGTTTTAAGCCGAACATATTGACTTTTCCTTTCAAACTCTCTTTCTTTTTTTTCTAATCTGTTCGAACCGCGCTTTTTTTCTCCTTCGGTTACTTTTAAATTATCCTTTTCCTTCTCCATTAAAAATTAATTCCTAGTTGTCTCATTGATTCACAAAACACTTTTACTTTTCCATGATAAAGACGAGCATTGCGATCAAATACAATCTGTTCTTTACCTTTTCTCCTTAATTTTTCCGCAAATAATTCTCCTAACTTTTTTGCGTATTCTTTATTTTTACGAGAAAAATTTTTGTTTTCCTCAATTAAATCAGCAGTTGAGAGATATAAAAGCGTACGACCTACCTTATCATCAATAGCCTGCACCCTTAAAAAACGATTAGATTCACTCAAAACTACGCGCGGCTTTTGCTCAGTTCCCTTTATTGAATTACTTCTTCTTTTTCGTATTTGTCGGCGAACTTTTTTTTCTATAATTTTCGTCATATATTTATACTTATTATTTATTTAAGGATTTTCCAGGCTTAAGTCTGATATTCTCTTCTTCCTTGATATAATAAATTCCTTTTGCCTTCTTATAAACACTTGGTAAACGTAATGGTTTGATATCGCTGGCCGCAAACTTTCTAACCCGCTGTTTATTTATTCCTCTAATTATTATTTTATTTCCTTCTGTTTTCACCTGGATTCCTTTTGGAATATCTAAAAAAATTGGATGAGACTTTCCAAGCAAAAACTCTAACTTATTATCTTTTAAAGATACTTTATAACCAATTCCTTTTACCTCCAAAACTTCTTGATACCCTTCCGTTACCCCTTTTATTGCATTATAAATTAACGAATTATGAGTTCCTGCTAGAGCCATATTTTTTGATTTCATAAATATCTTACCCTCTTTATTAACTATTTCTAATCCCCTTGGAAAAAAAATTTCATCTCTACCCAACGGACCTTCGACAACAACTTCTTCTTTATGCACAACCACCTTCACATTTAGCGGCACTGGAATAATTCGATTGGCAATTTTTGACATAAGAGTAATTTAAGTTAATTAATAGAAAGAATGAGTTTACCACCAGTTAACTTTTTTAAAGCTTCATGGTGGGTCAGCAATCCAAATGGAGTAGAAATAAAAAAAATACTCCGGCCTCGACAATATTTTTTTATTTCTTTAACTTTTAGATAAATATGCCGAGAAGAACTAGAAATTTTTTTTATTTCATGAACGTTACTGTATTGATCAGAATATTTAATTTTAACTTTGATATTCTTATTTTTCTCATCAAATCAACAATGAGACAGAAAATTATTTTCTTCCAACTTCTTGCAAATTTTTCATTTAAAAGAAGAATAAGGAAAAACAACATTACGAAATGTTCGCATATTAGCATTACGAATAGTTGTTAACATATTAGCTACTGGATCAGAAAACGTCATATTTAATATTTTATTATATTACTTATCAATCACGGCGTATAAATACCTTACTTTATCAAGAAGCCTTTTTAAAACCTGGCAAAAGTCCTTGATAAACATACTCACGAAAGTGTATACGACAAATTTGACCGCCTTCTAAATGTAAAACAAATCGTGGACGACCGCATACCAAACAACGATAATTTCTTCTCGTAGAATACTTTGGAGTTTTTTTAGATCTAACAATTAATGCTTTTCTTGCCATATTAAATTATTATTCAGCACCATCAATTTCTTCCTCGTCCCTTGTTCCAACAACCTTTCGATTAGAAAAAATTTTTTTTGAAACCTTGTTCGCCTTTTGAAATTTCTCATCAATCTTCAAGATTAACAAAGATTGCTGTAAAAAATTTTCTTTTTCCTTTATTTTCGTTTCCAGCATCTTTTTTTCTTTTTTGATCTTGGCTAGTTTTTCATTAGGAGTAACTTTTTTCCTTGCCAAACCTAAATTTTGTGCTATGCTACGGATAAAACCTACCTTTTCCTCTGATGGAAAAGGATTAATTTCTAATTCTATCTCTAACTCTTTTTCTTTTTTTACTAATTTACTAAATCTGCTTCTCAAATCTCCTATAGCTAAATGAATTCGACTAACCAATTTTTTATCATTTTCAATTTTTTGCTCAACTTTTTTTTCTTCCTCTCGGTAGAGATTTTCCCTCTTCTTATACTCTTTACAATGACCTAACAAACATTCTTTCGAACAAAATCCCGCCTTCTCTGCAATTTCAACCTCCAAAACTTTTTGTTCTTCTTTAGAAAATTGGTAAGGAACACCTAAAGAAATTTTTGTATCACAGAAATAACAATAACCTTCTTTTGGAACTTTTTGTTGTAAAGGAGTCACTGAAACAGTACTCTTTTCTAATTGCCGAGAAACACCCTCTTTCTCTTTTCTGAAATCCTCTCTCAAGTCACTGTATTTTTGAATCATAACTTTTCTTTCTTGTTCAAGAATGGTTTCTTCCTCCGCAAAATCAACGCTATTCAACTTACTAATTATGGCTTCGATTTCTTCAACCACTATCTCAATTTGATCGAGCAATCCTTTTCACATCTTACTTTTTTCCGCAGAACTAAGATTAGTTACAACTAAAGAATTTCTACAGATATTTACACTCTTCGTTAGCGACAAATATTCCCCTTCATACTTATCAAAATTTTCCACCGCTGATTGAATAATTGAATGATTCATATTTAATATTATATTTTACACGCAAAAACAAATCTTACTTTTTATTTATTCGCAATATCTTTATTTTTTTCAATAAATTCTTCATTAGGATTTCAGTTAGTTTCTTTCTGTATTTTACGAAGCATCTCGCTAGTTGAACCAGTAACTTTCTTTGGTAACTTCACTTGCAATCAAATAAAAAAATCTCCTCGCCCATTACTATTTATCCCTAGATAACAACCACGACCACGCAAAGTCAGCCTATCTCCGTTTTGAACTCCGGGCGCGATCTCTACTTTATCCACCCCTTCAAGAGTAATTACTTTTAAATTTCCCCCTAAAATGGCATCTAAAAAAGAGATAGGTAAATTAACATGTATATCGTTTCCTTTGCGCTGAAAGTAAGGGTTATCTTTTACCTTTATATTAACATAGATATCACCTTTTCCTCCTCCATACCAACCATCATTACCTATGCCTTGGTAACGAAGCCGCTTGTCTAGTTGAATTCCGCGCGGAATGCTAAGTTCAATAATTTCTTTTTGTTTTGTGAACTTCCTTCCTCCGCAATATCCGCATTTTTTTCTGATTTTTTTACCACTTCCTTGACACTGTGAACAAGTAACTTGATTACGAATAGTTCCCAAAATAGTTCTTTGAATAGTGTTAACCACCCCCCTTCCTCGACAAGCCGGACAATCCACCACATCTGACAAAGCTGCAGCTCCAGTTTGTCGACAAATATTGCACGCTTTTTCTAGATAAGTCGAAATTTTTTTCTTTACTCCTAGTACTGATTCCTTAAAAGTCAAAATTAAGTCAATCAAAATATCATCTCCTGCTTGAGTCTTAGTTTGGTTTCCAGAATAACTTTCTTGCCCAGAATAGCCTGCTCCTCTGCCAAAAAAAGTATTAAAAATATCTTTAAAAATTGACTCTCCTTGTCCGAATTCTCCCGTCGAAGCATTTTGCCCAAAAGGATTTTCGCTTCCATATTGGTCATAATTCCGGCGTTTTTCAGAATTACTTAAAACTCCATAAGCCTCATTAATCTCTTTCATCTTTTCCTCCGCTTCGGTCTTTTTTTCAGGAGGATGCCGGTCGGGATGCCATTTTAAGGCCGCTTGGCGATAGGCTTTTTTAATTTCCTCCTCTGAGGCACCTTCTGATACTCCTAAAACATCATAGTAACTTTTTTTCTTCATTATTTAATTAATTTAAATCTATTGAAAACTGAAAATCAGCAAAATATATTTGATACTGCTCTCATCAAAGAAACTGAAAAATACTAAGCCTTCAATAAAAAATCACCATAAGCCTCAAAAAAACTTAATTTCTTATCTAACCAACAATCGTTGAAAAAGGATACTTAGTACATTTTTCAGAATAAAAATTACAATTTTATTAAAAATTATCTAACTATTTTTTATCATCATCTTTTTTTTTTGGATCAACGTCAATAACCTCTTCATCATTACCTTCTTTTGGCATCTTTTGCATCAATTCGTTAGAAAGTTTCATTAGTTCATCAACTTTGTTTAGTTGATTCTTCAACTCTGGATAATTCTTTTCTTCAGTTAGTTTTTTTAAATCTTCATATAACTTCTTAAATTCTTGGAATTGAGGGTCATCCTCCTTGAAATTTTTGTGAGATTTAAATTCTTCAATTTGTTTTTCAAAAGTGTAACAATAAGCCTGAGCTCGATTCAGCGTTTCCAAGTTACTTTTTAACTCTTCATCTTTAGTCCGATTTTCTTCCGCTTCCTTGATCATTCTTTTAATCTCCTCCTCACTTAAACTTTGGCTATCTTTAATAACTATCGACTGCTCTTTACCGGTCTTTTTATCTTTAGCAGAAACTGAAACGATCCCATTAGCATCAATGTCAAAAATCACTTCAATTTGTGGAATACCGCGCCGTGCTGGCTCAATTCCCGTTAATTCAAAAGCTGACAATAACTTATTATCTTGAGCTCGAGCCCTTTCTCCTTGATAAACACGAATAAAAACGCTAGGTTGGTTGTCTACAGCGGTAGAAAAAATCTCAGATTTCCTAGTTGGAATAGTAGTATTACCTTCAATCAACTTAGTAAAAATACCTCCCTCGGTCTCAATCCCTAATGAAAGCGGAGTAACGTCCAATAAAAGTACATCTTTAATGTCACCACGCAGTATAGCTCCTTGTACTGCCGCACCTACTGCAACTACTTCATCCGGATTAACTGATTTATTAATTTTTTTCTCACCAAACCGACTTTTAATAAGAGATTCTACCATTGGCATCCGAGTCGAACCTCCCACCAAAATTATTTGATCAATTTCTATTTTTTTTCCTTCTTTTTTCTCAGCTCCACGAAGCGCTTCCTCCACTTTTTCAAGAGTTTTTTTCATATAGTCTTTAGTTAAATCCTCAAATTTAGCTCGTGTAATCTCAATATCTATGCTAACTAACTTGCCACTTTTCAAAGGAATATAAGCTTCTGCAAATCTTTCAGTTAATTTTCCCGACAATTTTTCTTTAATTTTTTCACTGGCTGCCTTTAACCTTAGTATAGTTTCGTTTTTCGCTTCTTCTTTAATTTCAGCAAGAAGGTCAATATTATTCTTTCGCTTAAATTCTTCTAACACATAATTAAATATCCTTTGATTAAAATTGTCACCCCCTAATTTTTCACCTGCTGTGGAAATAACTTCAAAAGTTGCACCTTCTTTTCCTTTGGTAATCTGGAGAACTGAAACATCAAAAGTTCCTCCTCCTAAATCATAAACTAAGATTTTTTGGTCTCTTTCGCTTCTATCAAGTCCATAAGCCAAAGCAGCAGCGGTTGGTTCATTAATAATTCTTTCGACTTTTAAACCAGCAATTGTTCCCGCATTTTCAGTTGCTTTCCGAGCCGCATCTTCAAAACGAGCTGGAATAGTTATTACCACCCTTGCCAAACTTTTTCCTTGCAATTCACTCTTTAATTTCTCTTCGGCATAACCTATTAAATAACGTAAAATAATGGCCGATATTTGCTCGGGGGTCATATCTTTACCGCCTAGCTTAACTTTCTCCTTAGTCCCCATTTTACTTTTAATAGAAAAAATAGTTTCATCTGGATTAAAAGCAGCGTTATTTTTTGCACTTTCCCCTACTAAAATATTTCCTTCTTTATCAACTGATACTACAGAAGGAGTAGTTCGTTTACCCTCCGGATTTTCTAATACTCGAGGATTCCTTCCTTCCATGATGGCAACGCACGAATTAGTTGTTCCGAGGTCAATACCAACAACAATTTTATCACTTATATTTTTTGTTTTTTCTTCGCTCATATTTCTATATTTATTAATGTTTTTAATTATTTTACTTTTGGTCTCTTGGCAATTTTTACCTTAGTTCGCCGAAGAACTTCCTCATGAAAAAAGTATCCCTTTTCCACCACTTCAACAACAGCTCCTTCTGAGAAATTATCAACCTCTATTTCTTCTATCAATTCATGATATCTAACATTTGCTTGAGTTTTTCCTATTTCAACTTCTATTTCTTTTACTCCTTGTTCTTCCAAACTTTTTTTGAAATTATCTTTAATTATTTCCATTCCTGTTAAATGGCTCTTAAATTTATCAATCAATTCAGGGTCTTTCGGTTTACTTTTAGAAGCATTTTTAAGATCATCTTGCATCGCTTTTAAAGCCCTTCCTTCTAAGGCAACTAAAAAATCAAGCATTCGGACAATAACTAATCTACCACCATATTTGTATGCATATCCTACCTGCCGTTCAAATTCTTTACGTTGATTTTCTATCTGGGCCAAAAGTAGTAATTTATTTCTTTTTAAATCTTCTATTTCTTCTTCATATTTCCTCTTTTCTTCCGGCTTATTTTCTGGTTTTTTTTCTTTAATCTCTTTTTTTTCTAATTTTTCTGCTAAAATATTTTCTTTTTGTTTCTCCTCTTTTTTACTCATACCTTTTTATAATTTTTAATTTTTTCATACTTTTGTTTTGGTTATTTCAAAAAATTTTTTTTCTGTTCTAACAAAGATAAGGTAGTTATTTTAATTTCATTAGTATCTTTTTCAAGATCTAAAAGAAAATGACCACCTGGTTGGAGAAACTGGGAAATAATTCCTCGTGATACTAACGTCCCTATTTCCTTTTCAATATAATGCTTAATGGGTCGGGCTCCGTATTCTTTTGAGTAAGCTTGATGAAAGATTTTTTCCACCATTTCTTCTCTATATTCTAATTTAATATTTTTTTCCTGAGTAACGCGCTGAATAAACGCTTCTAATTCCTTAACAATAATCTCTCGCACTACCTCCTTGGTTAAAGGATTAAAGTATACTATTTCATCTAACCGATTCAGAAATTCCGGGCGGAAATAATCCTTTAATCTAAACTCTAAATCCTCTTTTAGTTCATGTTGATTTCTTCCAGAAAAATATAACTCTGAACCTAAATTAGTAGTCATAACGATAATCGTGTTACGAAAATTAACCTCTTGACCATTAGCTAAAGTAAGGAAACCATTATCTAGTATTTGCAGAAGTATATTCAGTGCTTCTGGATGGCACTTTTCTACTTCATCAAAGAGCAAAACGCTATTCATCTTTTCCCGAACAATTTCTAAACGCGGCTTGTCTTCAAATCCAATATAACCTGGCGGTGAACCAATCAGTTTACTAACCGAATGAGGTTCCGAAAATTCAGTCATATCCAAACGAATAAGGTTCTTGCTTTGATCAAAAAGTTGTTCAGCAATCGTTAGCGCTACCTCAGTTTTTCCTACTCCGGTTGGCCCTACGAACAAAAAAGAGGCCAAGGGGCGACTAGGATCTTGTATTCCTGATCGCGCTCTAAAAATAGCGTCAGTAACTACTCTTAAAGCTTGATTTTGACCCTTTACTCTCCGTTGTAGGATCGCCGGTAGAAAAAGCAATTTTTGCTGCTCATCAACTAATACTTTTCCCACAGGTAAATCGCACTTCCTAGCAATGGTTAAAGCAATATCTTCTTTATTAACAAAATATCTTCTCAGAGTATTGGTACCAGCTTCCTTTTCTAATCTATCAATCTTGCTTTCTATTATTGGAAAAATAGAATACTTTATCTTGGCTGCCTTAGTCAAATCAACTTCTTTTTGTTGACAATTAATTAACTCCCTTTCTGCTTGAACTTTTTCTCTTTTAGCCTTATTTAATTCTTGAATAATTTTACTCTCCCTTTCATCTTGTTCCATTAAGTCTTTCAATTTTTTCCGGTATTTAGAGATTTCTTGACGAAGAATAAGTAACTCAGTTTGCTTTCCTTCCTCTTTAGAAATTACCATCTCCTTCATTTCTAATTCTCTTAACTTTCTCCGAGTATTGGTAACCTCTTCAGGTTCATATCACATTTCACCCCTTATCCTTCCGCAAGCTTCATCCAACAAATCAATAGCTTTATCAGGAAGATATTTGGTAGTTAGATAACGCTGTGAAAATTTTACCGCCGAAAACAAAGCCTCATCAAGTATTTTTAGTTCGTAATAAACTTCTAAATAATTACGAATACCATAAAGAATCATAAGCGTATCACTAAAACTTGTTTCAGAAACAACTACATTACTAAAACGACGAGTCAAAGCTTCATCTTTTTCTAGATACTGACGATACTCGGCTTGCGTAGTTGCTCCGATACATTGAATTTCACCCCGCGAAAGCAGTGGCTTTAACAAATTAGAAACATCAAGAGCCCCTTGACTACGACCAGCCCCTACAATCAAATGGATTTCATCAATAAAAAGAATGGCATTATTTTCTGGCTGACTCATAAAGTTAAAAATAGTTTTTAACCTTTCTTCCAATTCGCCTTGAAACTTCGTTCCGGCCATTAAAGAAATCATATCTAACTGGTAGATGATTTTACCTTTTAAATAATCAGGAACTTTTTCTTGCTTGATTTTTTGCACTAGTCCTTCAACTATTGCCGTTTTACCTACTCCCGGGTAACCAATTAATAACGGATTATTTTTCAGCATCCGCGATAAAATATAAACTAACTCCTTAATTTCTTTTTCTCGACCAATAACGGCTAACTCGCTAACCTTTTCTTTCTGATTAAGATTTTCGGTAAACTTTGCGATAATTTCCTTTTCTTTTTCCTTGTTCATACCAAGTAAAATTTATTGAATTAATTAATAACGTTGATTAAACATTAAAACAACTAGCATCACTCCTAAAATACTCCCTAAAATAATTAAGGTCCAAAAACGACGATTTGCTTCTCTTTTTCGATCGCAAGCAATACATAATCAATAACTCTTTCCTACACTTCGCAATGACCAACTCCTCCTCCTCAACCACTTTTGTGACCATAATCTCTGCCCCTTAAATTACCACTGCCTTCTCTTTGTTTAATGGCTTCACCTTGCGAAACCATTTTTCCACAATCATAACATCTTACTTACACGTTTATTTTATTAATTTTATTAATATAATTAACTTATTTTAAGTAAAAAAATCAATTTTCTTTTAAAATGGGGCGAATAGTGAGAATTGAACTCACGAATGCTAGTTCCACAAACTAGTGCGTTAAACCACTTCGCCATATTCGCCATTAATGGAGCGAGTAACGGGAATCGAACCCGCATCATTAGACTGGCAGTCTAATATTCTAGCCGTTGAACTATACTCGCACGCTAATTTATTAATAAAATTTTAATCTCAAAACGCTCTTTAACCACCTTTGCCTTTATTAACTAACCATAACTAACATATAATCTATATTACTAACAAATCCATAAAAATCCTTATAACATGCTGTGTACTAGATGCTACAAAAAAATTCCTGAAGGGGAAGAAGTTAATAGGGGAGGTAGTGCTGTTCATTGATGAGCTTATGGATGAGAAAGCGGAGGAAGAGGTGGAGTATTTTGTCGTCGGTGTGCCAAAAAAGAAGCCAGGCGAGAAAAAAAGTTACTAAATCTTTTCTTTTTTATATTTTTTTCTCCATCTTTTTCACTATTGGCGTAACAATAATCGTTTCGATAAAGAAAGGAAACAATTAAATTGTTCAACTCAGTTGGTTCCTACTTTCATCGCGATTTTTAATAATTTTGTAGAGTAACTTAACTGAGGAAAAATAATTAGATAAAATTGTATATTATCAACAAAATTTAAAATTTTGTTTGGGAAACTACTGAAAAACATGGAAACGAAACTGACTGAAAATAACAAAAAGTTGGAAGAAAAGATTATTGACTATTTAGAAAAGATAGAAAAAAATCAACTTGCTCGAAAATTAGTAACTAAAAACAAAAATTTGTTACTAGCAAGCAAACAGGAATACGATGAAACAAATAAGAGCCAAAAAGAGTATCAAGAATTTATTTTAGAGTTAAATGAAGAAGAAAAAAGGGACCTTTTTACTGAAATTAAAAAGTTAGAATTAAAAAAAGTTAGAATTATCGAAAAAATCAAAGAGCAAATAATGGAAGAAGAAGGAACTAAACAAAACGTGGCTATCGAAATTCGTCCTGGAACTGGAGGAACCGAAGCAGGATTGTTTGCACGTGACCTTTATCGTATGTATTATAAATTTGCAGAAAGTCGAGGGTGAAAAGTTGAAATGGTGGAAAGCAAAGTAGATCACGCCGGAAACTTCACTTTTGTTTCTTTCTTGGTAAAGGGAGATAAAGTTTTTAATCATTTAAAAAATGAAGCCGGTGTTCACCGGGTACAAAGGGTTCCCCAAACCGAAAGTAAAGGAAGAATACATACCTCAACAGCAACAGTAGTTATCTTACCTGAAGTTCAAGATGTTGTTTTAAATATTCGAACACAAGATTTGAGAATTGATACTTACCGCTCCAGCGGAGCAGGAGGTCAGCATGTTAATACTACTGATTCAGCAGTACGAATCACTCACTTGCCGACTGGAATTATTGCCACTTCCCAAGATGGTCGTAGCCAGCATGACAATAAAGAAAAAGCTTTTTTTATCCTGAAAAGTCGTTTGCTGAAAAAATTACAGTCCGAACAAAAAAAACAAGCAGGCAATTTGCGCTCAGCAGTGATTGGTACAGCCGAAAGGGCAGAAAAGATTCGCACCTACAACTGACCACAAAACCGAGTTACCGATCACCGATTAGGAATTAGTTGGAACAAATTGAATTTTATCATTGAAGGCGAATTGGAAGAACTATGCCAAAAACTAATTAATTATGAAGTAGAAAAAAAAATAACCAGCGAACTAGCAAATTAGAAACTACATGACAATAATAATAACTAGTGAAAAAAAAAATTCTTCTTTTCTTTCATCCTTAGTAACTTTTTTTGGCATACTAAGTTTACTACTCGTAACTCTTTTCCTTGGAAACAGACACTATCAACAAAGTAAACTATCAAACTACGAAGCACCCCAAGAGAACTTTGAACTCGAACTATTACCCGATGAATTATTGCCGCCAAGGCAGCCTTTAAAGGAAAAAAAGCCAGAAAAACTTAACCCACTGGAAACCATTAAGAGATTAAAAATACAAAATAGGTGAAGAAAAACGATTCTGCCACGCTTTTTCTCGAACAATGAAGCAGTCAAAAACAAAATAAATTGGTTTTTAACCACTTTTTATGATATATTTCTTAACGAAGGATTAGAGGGTCATGAAAAAATCTGAAAAGAAGAAGCTAAATTTATTAGGCCAAAAAAAGTAGACGGACGTACTACTACCAAAAAAACTTGAAAGAGCGACGTTGAAAGATGTAAAGAAATCTTTCCGGACATCAAAAGCGCAAAAATTATTTGAAAAGGATTTGCTGGCTGATTAACTGAAGAGGAAAAAGGGGAAGAAGAGGATGATAAAATTACCTTAGGATTGTGTCAAAAACAAGATTACACAAAAACCTCGTACCGTTGAGAAACTAAACTTTGAGGAAAGCCAGAAATTTCATCTCTATGCTATTCAACTTGCCGCCATATAACTATTAAATTAAAACCGGAACTTTTTTTTCGTTATGACTCTTGGTTCATTGTTGACAAAAAAACTGGAGCAAAAAAACAACTTAATCTTGGATGAGAACAGTTAATTGGAACTATAGCTCATGAACTAGCCCACGCTGTAATTAACTCCATACTACTCAACGATAAATCTGCTAAACTTGAAGAAGGACACGGAGGACTTCACGATAATTTTACTAAAAGAATCAAAGATATGATAGAAATTTCTCCTGAACATAAGGATTTCAAGAATTATTTTTATAATCTTTATTAACTCGGGTAAGCGAATAATCAAAGACAATACGGGCAGATCAATATTTATAAAATTCATTAATAAGAAAATATGCTAAATCTTGATAGAAATCAATTAATCGAAGCTGGAGTTCAGTTTGGTAATCTAATCCGCAAACGAAACCCACAAATGCGTCCCTATATTTATAAAAAAAGTAGTCGGGCGCACATAATCGATTTACAAAAAATTATTGTTAGTTGCCAAGAACTGGGAAAATACGTAGAATCATTACTTGAAAAAGGAAAAACAATTTTATTTCTGTCTACTAAAAAGCAAATGGTTGGAAGTGTTAAAGAGCAAGCCATTAGGTGCGGAATGCCTTATATTGTTAACAAATGAAAAGGAGGATTTTTAACTAACTTTGAGGAAATAAAAAAGAAATTAAAAGAACTACAAGGACTAAACAGTTTTTTCCAAAAAAGTACTTTCAAAAACTTGATAAAAAAAGAGCAAGTAAGATTAGAAAAAAGAAGAGATAAATTAAACAGTATTTATGAAGGAGTGATTAACTTACAAAGAAAACCTAATGCTCTATTTATTATTGGTCTTGATAAAGAAAAAACTGCCTTTCGTGAAGCAAAAAAAACTGGTATTCCGGTTATTGCTATTTGTAATACTAACTGTGATCCTCGTTTAGTCGATTACGTTATTCCAGGCAATGATCGCGACGAAAAATCAATTAACTTTTTTGCTAATCTAGTAGCCAATACCATCCTCAAAGTTAAGGAAAAAAAGGAAATCAGAAATAGTGCCGAAAAGGAAGAAAAAAAAGTTAAAGAAGAGTTTTAATATTGTTTTTTTACTATGTTTCGTAAGTAAAAGGAACTGCTAAAAATTTTTTAAAACTTTATCTTTGTCTTTAAGTAAGAAATTCCACGATAAACTTTAAACTTTGAAAATAATTTATAATGAAAAGTGAGGAATTACAAAAATTAGCCCAAAAAATCCAGTTGGAAATAGAAGAAAAAGAAATAGTTAAATATTTAAAAGAATTCAAACAACTAGAAAAACCTTTAACTAGTTTCAAGAAAACAAAACTAAATCCAAGAATAAATCCAATGGTTAGGATTGGGGTAGGTTATCTAACTCTTTCAGAATTAAAAAAGTTAAAAAAGTTTTTTTCGAGTCCTCTTATTAACAAAAAAAATCTTAAAAACAACAGTCTTATTACTACTAAAGATAATTTAGTATTATTTAGAAAAAACAGTTAACTTAACCTATTTTTCGGTTTTTTTCTGTTGTTGCTTGCCAAACCAACTAAAAGCAGAATAATAACCTTTCCTAAGAATAAGACCAATAGCCATAACCATTTATTTTCTTGTTCCGTGTTCGTTTCATTTTTTAACCGTTGCTCTAAATTCTGATTAATTGTTTCTAATTTGCAAATTCTCTCTTTTTGTTGCTTATTCTCTAACTCTTTTATGATTATCTTTTCTTTATAAACTGGTTTTTCTTCTATGACAATTTTTTCTACTGGAACTTCTTTTATTTCAGTTATATATCTAATTTGTCAAGTAATAGGTGGGTTATGGTAAAAATTAATCAAATCAATTAAAGATTTGCCAACTGGCATGGCAGGCAATTTTTTTAAGTTCACTCCCAACGATCTTTCGGTATTAGTAATGATATTTTGTTGATCATCAAGACTAGAAATTAAATCATTCTCGATTTGCCTCAAATGCTCTATTTCATTGATTAACCCCTTATTTTTATTCCTCACAAACCGTAAACGTTTATCTACCTTTATTTTTTGTCTTTTGAGTTTTTCAATTTTTTTAACGCTTCTGTTAGCGGTGTTTAGTAATAAGTCATAATCTGTTTCTCGCTTAGCAACTTTTTCAGTTAATAATTCTTGTTTAGCAAGTAGGCTTAAAAAACTCTTTTCGTTCTCTTGCAAAAGAGCCAAATTCGCTCTTCCTAAAATCATACAATCATTTTCAGAATAAATTTTTTTTCATAAATTTCTTTCAATAGGTCCCAATCGGCTTTTTTCAATAAGTAGTTGACAATTAGTTAAAAAACTTTCAACGCCTATTTTCCTTTGAATAAAAGAGGCTTTTAATTCACACAAGTCAATTTCTTTAATTTTTTCAAAAAAAGCAAGAGAAATATTTTTTAAATCTTTTTTCAAATTATCGTTTTGCTCCTCGATAATCCTAACTAATTCCCTCTCTCTTTCCTCTCTCGTTAGCTTGTTAAAATATTGATTTTCAGACACTACAATGCAATTAAAATCACACACTTCCTCCCCGAGATTATTTTTAATCTTTTTCTCATTAGCATAGTTACAAAATCTACATCCATGTCCCTCACAGAATTTCGCTTCCTTAAAATTTTCAGGAGTATAACATCTCCCTCACACATATCCACTTAATTTACAGTTTGCCATAAAGATTTATTTATAAAATAAAATAATAATCAACTAATTTTCTGCTTCGCATTTTTGCCTTTTTCAACAATATTCTAGCATATATATATATATATATATATATATAATTTTAAAACATTATCTGTGCTTATTTAAAAAAATTATTAAAATCAGTGTCAATTTTAACTTTCTTTCAATCTTACCCTTTAAATAAACTTATCAACTCAAAAACACTGCTAAACTGTAAATTCTATAAATCTATAAAATTAAATATATTTGCTTTTACTTTGCATGACGAAAAAAAAACAAGACTGCCATTACGAATTACTTTGCCTCTTAAACGAGAAAGAAAAAAACCAAGAAAAATATAAACAATTGATAGAAGGGATGGAAAAGGTGCTTGGGAAAAATAAGTTAGAAAAAATTGAAGAAAAAGATTGAAAACCTGCTTATCAAATTGGTCAAATATCAACCGCCACTTACCTCCTTATTTACTTCAAAACAGAACGAGAAAAAGTTCAAGAACTAAAAAAAGACCTTTTACAAACCATTCCCAAGCGTTTTCTCGATCGTTACTTATTACTTAACCTAACCGAAGAATCAAAACTTAAAATTAATAAATATAAGAAAGAAGAAAAAGATGCTGAACAAAATTAAAATAGTTGGCAAGATTTTACCAATCGAGTTAAAGAATAAAGAAGAAAAAGATGATCTAATACTTTATTTCAGTTTGCTAGTTCCTAGTCCGAGCAATTCCTCAACGATCCTGCGTTGTGTTGCTCAAGGAGAAAATGCCAAGAAAATTGAAGTTGAAGTTAAAAAAGATGAAATATTAGAAGTAAAAGGTTATCTACGTAATGAAAAATCAGGCAGGCAAATTTTGGTAAAAGTGATTGAATTTACTAAAATAGACAAAACTTTCGACACAATTGATAAAAACTCTTCTAATCAACTAAGATTGCTGGGAAAAATAATTACTGATTTCAAAATCCGTGAAGACAAAGAAGAAGCAGAAGTACTTTCTTTTCGAATTACAGTTCCTCGAGAAGGGAATGATTTACCTATCTTCTTTTGTCGAGTTCAAGGAACAAAATTAATAAAAGAGATTAGAAATAAATTAAAAAAAAATGACATTATTTTGTTAGAAGGATTTTTACAAACTAAAAAGATCGTGGAAGAGGAAAAATCTTCCGAAATTGGAAAGAAAATTTCTCGAATTTCCTCAATTATTTGCCAAAAATTAATCTTACTCGATAACGACTCAGTAAATGTTTTTTATCCGCTGAATCAATTTACCCATATTGTCGGAAAAGTAGAAAAAATTGATTTTACTAAACCCAAAGAAAAATGAGGAGAAAAAGATGCTGAAAATGACTAAAAACAATTTAGGAACCCACAAGTCTAAGAAGAGGAAAATTAATCCTAAAAACGATTATTTTTTAAAAGAAAACATTGAATATGTTGATTATAAAAATATAGATATTTTACGCAAATTTATAAACAATCAGGGAAGAATCGTTAGCCGCTTATATTCTAGATTAACTTCTAAAAGCCAACGAAAAGTAGCTAGAGCTATTAAGAGAGCCCGGCAAATGGCCTTACTTCCATACACGATAGTCGAACAAAAAGAACAAAAATAACCATGAAAAAGAAAGAAAAAGTTATTCTCATAGAGAATGGTGAGTGAGGAAAAAGTTTCAAAATAACTGAATTGCGAAGGGGATTTATCACCAACTACTTGTTACCCAATAAACAAGTAATGCTTTATAACCAACAAAGTATTTCCTGAATCGAAAAACAAAAAATTCAACAAGAGCAAAAAAAAGTTCTCGCGGAAGAAAAAATGCAAGAACTATACAAAAAAGTTAATAATTTTATTCTCACTTTTACTCTAAAAAAAAATGAAAAAGGAGAACCATTCGGCTCAATTGGGTTTAAAGAAATTTCACAAGAGTTAGAGAAGGCAGGAATCCACTTAGAAAAAAGCCATTTAATGGACTTTCACTCTTTGAACAAGTTAGGCGAAAATGTATTAAAAATAAAACTTAGTAGTAACCTAATTGCCAATTTGAAAGTGGTGCTAAATTAAAATGATAATAATATGACAGAAATAAAACAGCAAGAAATAATTACCTTACGCGGTAGACTAAAAATGGGAGTCGCCTCGGGAACTAGCATTAACGGAGATGACTTTTATCGTGTCCCTTTACAAGTTACTGAAACAGAAAAAAATGGGCAAAAAATTGATAACCAGTTTGAATCAATTATGCTAATTTTCTGAAAAAAAAACTTTGATAGTAGAAGTCAATCAGTTATCAGTAATTTAAAAGAAAATCAAACCATTACCGTTCACGGAAATGTGGGTGGACGGGATAACGGATTATTAAGAGTAGTTGAATTTGAAACGGGAGACAGTGAAGAAGATTTATTTATTTAGAAAATTAACTTTATTTTTTGTGTACCTCAAATTTAACTATAAAAATTTGCTAACATGGAGCATAGAAAAATAATCCACTATATAAAAATTAGAGAAGTTTGAAAAGATGCTCTGCGTGCTAAGTCAAGAGCTATTTCGGCTATTTGAAATGGTTTGTTTAGATTTGGTCTTTTTTTAGCCCATTGAGCAGTAGAGAACTATTTTCTTAGCGAAGAGATGGATCAACTTCATTTACGAAATCCTAATTTCAAATACATATTTTATCTTTCAATAGCACTTGGTTTATGAGGATTATTAGATAGTTTATTAGGAATAATTAAGTATTTTGAAGCTTGTAATGAAGTTAAACAACTTGCGCAACAAGTTGAAAGAATCGAAAAGGAAATTATTGATTACAATTAAATTTATTACTTTTTGTCAAACATTGACAATATTAATTCTGCCATATTTTTAAGGATTAAGATTCCTTCTTCTAATTTTTCGGCAAAATTAAATCTATTAACGATTACTAATTCCGAGTTTTCTCTTTCGCAATTTTTCTAATCTTTTAATCCTATCTTCTAGAAGGGGATGAGTACGAAATAAATCTAATAAGCCTCTTTTTTTCTTTTCAGGATTAAATTTTAATAGAGAAACAGCGTTAGGTTCCCCTTGTTGAATGTTTTCATCCTCGGTTAAATCTACGCCATCAACTACCCACTCTTTGTTTTCTAAATACAAAAGTTTCCGCAAAGTCTTTAACATACTATCTACCCCTACTATCTTAGCCCCTTGCAAATCGGCAGCCAATTCCCTTCTACGATTATATCAAAAAATAATTAAAATGCCTAGCAGACGTACAATACTAGTAATCACCTGAAAAAAAATTAACTTAAATAACCAACCAATAAATTCTCCCGCATCTTCTTTCCGTTCTTCTTCGTTTTTTCGTGGCCGAAATATTGCTCAAACTAGCAAAAAACTAAATAACCAATAAAAAGTGTCAAATATTCCTTGTACTAGTAAAATACTCCTTAAATCATAATTAATAAGGTGAGACAATTCATGACCTATCACCCCCCTTATTTCTTCCATATTCATAGTATTAATTAAATTACTAGAAAAAGCAATTAGCGTATTGTTAGCTGAACCAGTAGCAAAAGCATTAACCTCGTTTGAGGCATAAATTCCCACTTCTGGCATTTTTATTTGGTAATTTCGGGAAATGGTTCGCACTATCTGCACTATTTCTTTTAATTTAAAACCTACTGAACCTAGCGAACTACCCAAATCTTTTCGGTCATCAATTCTCTTCACCCCTTTTAATCACTTCACCATGTCTTTTGAAAAATAATAAGAAATAGCAGAAAAGAGGCTAACAACAATAGTAATTACAATAAGGAGTATTATTCAATTCAGCATATATGACTTTTTATTGGCAAGTTTTAACTTTCTTTTCTAATAACCCGGCCATTGCTAGTAATTCTTGATCATTGCCATAAGCACTGTTTATATTCAGACTAACTGGCAATCCTTTGACAACTCCAATTGGGAGACTTAGAGAAGGAACTCCACTAAAGTTAGCCAAAAGTAATAAATTATCGCTCCAATGAATTATCTGGCTTCCTGCAAAAGCAGAAGAAATTTCATTGATTTTTGGAGCTGGACCACTCATGCTAGGAAAAAGTAAAAAACTATATTTAGCGAAAGTTTTTTTTACCCATTGATCAACGCATTCCCGAAATTTTCATGCTTTTTCTAAATACTCTAAATTTTCTAGAAAATAAGCTCCTAGCAGTAGACGTTTCTTTACTTCTTGGCCGAGAAATGTATTTCTCTTTTTAAAAATAGAACTATTTTCTTTGATACCAAAAGTTATTCCTTGCAAAGCATTTAGATGACTCAACAACTCACTACAAGAAATAATCAAGTAAGTAAGTTGTAGATTCTCTCTTAATTCCTTGGATAATTCTATTATTTCAATACTATACCCTTCTTTTTTCAAAATATTTAAAGTTTGGTGATATAATTCTTTGAATTCCTTTTCTAAATGCTTTTCTAAGCCTTGAATAATGGCGATTCTTTTATTTGATTTTAAAACTTTAACTCTTTTTTTTTTTGCAATGGTTAATAGGTCTCGAGGATCTTCTTTAGCAAGTAGTAAAAAAATTTTTTTTGCAGTTTCTACTTGAGAAGCCAAAATACCAACTGTATCAAGCGAAGAAGCAAAAGGAATTAAACCATAACGAGAAATCAAACCATATGAAGGTTTAAAACCTACTATTCCGCAATAAGCTGCTGGGCAGCGTATAGAACCTCCAGTATCGCTACCTAAAGCAAAAAGAACTAAGTTTTGGGCCACAGCGACCGCCGAACCTGAAGAAGAACCTCCTACGATGTGCTGAAGATTATGAGGATTAACTAGAGTTCCTTTATTTGATAACAAACCCGATCCTCCACAAGCAAATTCGTCTAAGCCGGTTTTGCCCATGCAAGTGTATCCTTTTTTCTTCAATAATTTAATTACAGTGGCATCTTCGTTCGGTTGAAAACCGGTTAAGAAATTAGAGGAAGCTGTCGTAAAAAAATTTTTGGTTCAAAAATTATCTTTGGCAAAATATGCCAGTTCTTTTTTAACAGTAAAATTATTATTTTTAAAAGTAGTAGCACTTACACTGTTCTCTCTTTTTTTGTCTTCTTTCAACATTTACTTTACTAATTTTGGTAATTATATACAATTTTACACTAAACTTAAATCCTTTACTTCAATTTTTAACAGTCTAACCATTAAAATGTATACATTGCCTAAATTTATAATCTAACACTTTTAAGACTTACGGAAATAGTATAAATTTCTCTAAAAGTTGGCTTGTAGGGGTTAAATCTTTCCTTTAAAAAATGGGTCAGTCTTAATTTTTTCTATTGCTCCTTGCTTGCTTTTTAGCACTCAAACATTATCTTGGTTTTCAACTGCCAAGGTACAGCCTTCATAATAAGATATCCCGCCTATTCCTGCTGAATTAGCAAACCAGTTACAAGTCTCTTCATTAACCTGGGTTTTATCAAAAATTATGTATCATTCTTCTCCGTTGTTAATTTTCTCATCTAACTTATCTTCGCTTCATTCAGGATCAGTTTCATTAGTATATTTTCCTTGGAAAACTAATCAAGTTTTTTTTTCTCCAATTAGTTTACTTAAATGGCGAGATAAAGAGGGTACCACACCACGACCATTATTAGTAAGCACCCCACCTAAATTCACTTTTCCTGGCTTTACTTCTTTTTGAAGGTTGAAAACAAAATAATTTTTTAAATTTAACCTTTTTTTAAGTAAATATTCTTCTATCTGTTGGTCGTTTAGTTTACCGTTTTCATCGCTTCTAGAAAATTTAGATGATGAATAAATTTTGTAAAGTAAAAATCCTCCTCCTACCATAAGAAAAATAACCGTTACTCAAACCAACAGTCTTTTTGCTTTCATATAATTTTTTTTGTAATAACTTTTATAATTTATTATAAATAATTATTGACACTGTAATACTATTCAAGGAGTAAATGTAACTTTCTTTCCTTAGTTAAATCTTGTAATTGCTTAAAAATTTCTTTTTTTAACTTCCGAATTGAGTTTTCTGACTTGTCGAACAATTTAGTTAATTCAGAAAACTTATATTCCTTCGAAAACATTGCTAAATATTTCTTAACAACCGGTAAGTTACTAAATGTTTTTTCTCGTAGAGAACAATCCTTTAAAGTGTTTAGGTCTTTCCCTCGACCAATCTTAATAGTTTTTTTTAATTCTTCTCGTTCATCTTTTTCCGCAACATGGTATATATCTAGTAAATTAGAAGGAATAATTTTATGCAATAACCTAATTAGCAAAATTTTTTCCCGATCTTTTAATGAATTAATGAGATCATTTACTTGAATAGCCGTATCCCTTTGTCGTACTTGATCATTATCACTCTTTAAATTCTCGCTATCATCAAGCGTGTCAATTAAAGAATAAGAATTGCTTTGCTCATCTTTATTTTGATAACTCCCATCATAAAAAATTACGTTTCTTTTTTCTTTATTGACGGGACTCTGATTAATAAATTGGTTTTTGTTAATAAAAGTTTGAATATACTGCCTAATCCAATGACCTGCATAAGTAGCAAAACGACTCTTACTGTTAAGATCAAATTTTTCGATAGCTTTTAGTAAAGAAGTAGTTCCCTCAGCCACTAAATCCTCATAATCGATTTGTCCTGAAAAAAAAGAAAATGAATATCCTCTTACAATGTATTTAACTAAATTTTGGTTATAGTAAATTAATGAACTTATCGCTTCCAATAAGCGAGGAGGCACTTTCTTTTCTTCGTTGTGCAACTTTAAGCCTTTTTTGGCTAATTCTAATAATTTTCTTTCCTCTTTAGGTTTGAGAGTAATATTTTTGCTCATAGGTTAGTAGAAATTTTTTAACATGATCTATTTCTTGGAAAATCTTATTGATCGATCTATTCGGTGTTTCAAGCATCTTCTGATTCTCTTCTAATGAAACACTATATTTATCCAACTTATTGGAAAAAAAGTTACCAGCAGGATCTAAACTGTAATGATTATGAATATTTCAGTAATCTCTTCGATTGTCTTGATTAGAAAAAAAATAATTACTTTTTGCGGTAACTATCCAACAGATTCGACTTTGAATACAGAGTTGAATTATAATTATTTCTTTCGCTTGAATCATCTCCTGACAATAAATGATTTGCAAATAACGAAGATTAGGAAAAGGAAAGTTCCGCTTGATAAAATAAGTTTCTACCTCTTCCTTATTTCATTTTACTAATAAACTTATTTTCTCAACTAGAAAATCTTGAATATTCAATTTAAAGTTTTGGAAAATTTTGGCTATTTCTCGGATGAAATGACTAACCCTTTGCGGATTCTCTGCCACTTCTCATTTAGAAAAATAGTAATCGAGAACAAACAAATAAGGCTTTTCTCTCTTTTTAAGAAAGTCTTGAATAGCCTCCTTATCATATTGACGACAAATTTCGTCCGGATCCCCTTCATAATTACCTTTTATGGCTTCGCAATCAACTTCTCGCAATAACAATTTTACTAAAGCATTAATAGTAGCTTCTTTTCCAGCTTTATCACCATCCAAAAAAAGAACAAGTTTTTTTTGCAAACTTGTTAAAAGTTTTATTTGCTCTTCTGCTAAATTAGTTCCGAGCATAGCCACGCAATTTTCTACTCCTTTTTCAACTAAACTAATTACATCAAAAAATCCTTCCACTAAATAAACTTCCTCTTCGCGGCTTTTTTTGGCTCCCAAATAATTGTAGAGCAAAGCAGATTTATGATAATACTGATAACTTGGTAAGTACTTATACTTTCCTTCGCTGGCTTCCCCAACCTCAATTTTTCGGCTGGCAAAGGCAACAATTTTATCTTCTTCATTGGCTAATGGAAAAATTAACTGTTTCTCAGCAAAAAAATCACTAGTTCGATTATCACTAGTTATTAAAACGAGGTTAGTAGTCAACAAATCAGCCGAGGAAAAATTATCATTTTTTTGCTGAAAAAGTAAATTAGTTAACTGTTTACTACTAATAGTACAGCCTAAAAAAAAACGACCAATCATCGTGTGACTTAAATGACGCGTTTTTCTAAGATAATCAAGAACTCCTTGGCCAGGTTCGGTAAATAAATTGTGTTGATAAATGCTAGTCACTAATGAATTTAGATAAAAAATTTTGTTCTTGCCCTTCTGTTCCTGTTTTTTTTTTTCTTGCCAATTAGCCAAAGAAAAATAACCTAGTTTACTAATTTCTATTAAGGAATCCTCCGGACTAATTTTTTTGTATTGAGCTCAAAAATCAAAAATATCACTAGCCTTAAAACTACATGAGAAACAAGTAAATATTTTTCGACTAGGCTCAAAACTTAAACTTGGATTTTTATCCTCATGAAACGGGCAGAGAAAAAAAATACTTTTTCCCATCTGCTTCAAAACAAAGTTTAGTTTAGTAGTTAGCAAATGAAGAATATCATTAGTGTTTAATAAGTCTTTATATCTCATTAATATGTTAAATTTTATATATTTAACTAAAAAACGAATTTGCTTTTAATTCATATTAATCAGTCAGCACAAAAATCTCTTTTTGTTTGGCTTTTAATATTGGTATTAAAATCTCAACCATTCACTACTTTTATAGAACATTAGGCTTATAATTTGCTTAACTTTTATTCTTTTCAATATTGAAATATAAAAAAATACTAAATATTATTTTCATAAAATAACCAAAGAAAGATTAAATTTATTTAGGTTACTAACATAATTTTAAAAACTAGTTTTCTTTTTAAAAGGAAAACCTAATAGACTTAAAAAATAACTATTTTCCTCACTTGAATTTGATTTGAAAACAATAGTAATTTGCAATCCTTGATTTTTAAAAGTTAGATCATAAGGAACAGTAGGAAAAATACTTAAATCATTTATTCCTACATTATAGTTGCCCCACTGGTCAAATTTCTTGGCTGATAAGCCTTGAAAATTAGTAACGGAAGGCAAGTTAATGTTTACCAACTCAAAAAGGAAATTTCAAGCCCTCTTTTTTCTTAAGGTTACTTTGCAACCAATCAGCATTCCTTCTCGTAACTTAAAAGTAGTAATCGAATTACGAGCCTGGGTTAAAACTGGTTTTTGCCCACCGGCAATCTGCATCAAAGCTTTTTCCGTATTGTCTAAAAATTGTTTATTACCAACTGCTTGCCCAACTCCGCAATTTAAAACAATTTTTTCAATATCAGTCGTTTGCATCGGCGAAGTATGCTTAAACTTTTCCCCCACTGATTTTTTTATTTCTTTTCTTTTGATCTCTCATCAATTATTGACAATAATAGTCATATATTAAATTTTAGGCAATTAATAAATTATTACCTTTTTTATCTTTAAACTTGCGAGCCATCCGCACTTTTACTTTTTCAGTTTTATCACCTTTTTTCTTTTCTGTTTCTTGAAAGCCAATCTTAGTAATTTTTTTTTTATCTTCTAATCAATAAGCAACGTTAGAAACATGAATAGGTACCATAATTTCCTTTAATTCACTCTTTTTCTTATTCTCAGGAGTTGATTTATCATACTTTTTCTTATTCGCTTTTTTTAAATAAACTATTTGATTTTTAGGGTCAATCCTAGAAATATAATCAATTGTTCCTCGATACTTTCCAGTGATAATTCTTACCATATCACCACTTTTTAACTTTGTTTTTAACATATTTGATGTATTTAAAAAAATTATTTAAATTCTAACTTTCCTTCTTAATCATATTTATAAAACCTCAGGTGCTAAAGAGAAAAGTTTTTTATATCCTCACTCATCAAATTCAGTTAATAAAGGAACAAAAATTCGTGTACCAACCGGTTCCTTGTCTTCTTTCTTTACCAATACCGCGTAATTTTTACTAAACTTTACCCAAGAATTATTATGACGATGAAAATACTTTCGTGTAGTAACGATTAGCGCCATTACTACCTGACCTTTTTTAATATTAGAATTAGGCTCTGCTTTTTTCACGGTAGCAATCACTAAATCACCAATGCGACTATAGCGCCGATTAGATCCTCCCAAACAACGAATTACTAATAATTTTTTAGCCCCTGAATTATCAGCAACCATTAAAATAGATTCATTTTGTAGCATAATTACTTGTTACGATATTTTTTACCTATCAATCATGAAACGACCACGATGCAAAAAAATGTCAATATCCCTCCTCCAATTAGGTAAGGAATATAACCTGCTTGGGAAGTAGCAGACGAATTGAAAGAATTTTGTAATTGCTGTAAACTTAAACTTTTTTGATTAGTTAATTCTAGTCAATTTTTT